ATGTACTAACAGCTATAAGGGCAACTATTTGTTCAACTTTGATTGAGAAAAGAAAATTTTTGACTTGATCTTGGAGTTGAAATGCTTGTTGTCATTAATTGTTAATATCTATCTTACTTTCATATAATATTGTTCATTATATCAACTTATGAATCTATTTGTATAAATTTCAAAGTGTATATAGTTCTAGAATACTTTTCTGATATGTAAACATTTCTTTATAATTAATTTATCTATATTATAAAGATTATATATATAGTTATATAGGTAATATTTTATGAAACTTGTGGTTTCTATATCTTGGTTCCTTTCTATATGTGATTGATATATTAATATTGTCAGATTTAATGAAAGAGTGTTTGGTAATATTCTGTATTTAAAGTATAATTCTTTGTTGATTAAATATTGCTGTGATAAAATTTTGCTACAAAGAACCAAAATTTCTACTGTTGTTTACATTATTGCTTTAAAGTTATAGTTAGCTTTATTATTATTAAACTGATTGATATCATAACTAATAATGGGTTCCTAAAGTATTTAGCATATAAACTTTTGCAGATCACTTATATCCCTTTTTGAGAGACAAAATTAATAGCTCTTTACTTTAATAGAAACAAAAATCTAGAAATGCTATAAATTAATGATCTTGATAATAGAGAACAATTGTAGGTAGTTTTTTTATAGTTATTAATTTAAAAATTTTAATGTTTCCTAGTGAGGAACATTTGACTTTTGTCCCTGCCTCCCCCTTTAGGGATCCATCTTTAGTGATAGTATAGTCAAAAAAGTTTTTGGCAATGTTGAAGATTAATAGATTGTAGAAAATATATTATAAAAGAGGAGAGATTGTATCACTTTGGTTAATACTATCTTCAACCTCATATATATCTATGGGTTCATGATATATCAATACTATATTTTGTCTTTGATTGAGAATATTTAAAAGTATATTTATTATTTGTGTCTGAATTTTGATTTGTTTAAGGACTTTGATAAGCATCTCCAGATTCGTGAAGTCAAAGACTTTTGACATATCTTAACTAAGAATCCAGGCCTGTTTTTTGGTTTCTTTAGCATATTTTATAATATTGTTAATGATATCTATAGGTTTTTATATACTGTTTATTGGGAGTGCTGCCCAAGTTAGTTCTAATAAAATTTCTTTTTCTTTTAAACACTAGACTATTCTGTTTGTAATGATTTTGGTGAAGATTTTCTATTGACATCTAGGAAGGTAATAGGTCTTGTAATGTTTAGATTATATTGCTAGTCTTTAGGTTTAGATATCAAATAGATATTATCTTTGCTTTATTCTGTGAAGGTTGAGTTTTTATTGATAATATGGTTGAATAGGTTTCTTATTTTTTTCAGGACTTTTTTATCCTGTTTTTTGAAGACTAAATATGGGATTTGATTTTTTTCTGATACTTATTTAATACTTCTGTCTTTAATTACTTTTCTTAATTCTTCTTTAATATTTCTCTAATAGTTAAATAGTACTATTTGAGGTCAATAGAATCTTTGAGTACATATTCTTTTTCCTATACTAACTATTTTACTTGCTATTTTATGTCTCTAATCGGTGTCCATTGTTAAAAGTGTTTCCTAATTCTGGATTTAATCTCTTCTGATTCTATTATTATGCTGTTTTTTTTTTTCACTACAATTAGCTTGTCTAGAATTATAGGTTTGTATAATTTGTCCATAATGCTATTTATTATTGCTCTTTTATTGATTGCCAAAAACAGTTGTCTAGTTGCTATTATTTATTTGATTGTTTAATTTTATTTTTTATAGATTATATTTCAGATGATAACTTTGTATACTTGTATTGTTTTCCATAAATGAGTAATCCATTATAGAATAAAGTTATACTCTTTATAACTTATTATTTATTTGTAGGTATTAATATATAAAGGTTCCATTTGCATATTTTAAGTAAATAATAAAAATGTTTGAGAACTTCTGAATGATCTTTTCTATAGTATTAGTTTTGAAGTTCTTTACTTTTTAATAATGAATTTTTCTACAAAACTGGCTATTTATTTTCTTTACTTTACTTTTTTTTCTTTTAAAAGTAATATTATAGACTTTTTTCAGTTCTATAGCCTATATATTTATTTAACTATTTATTATACATTATGAAATAAATGTTATTAATAAGGCTACATATAGTTTCTATTATTTTATTTAAGAGTATTGATTAGTTAATTATATTTATAATATATTTCTAATAGCTTCCTTAATTATAAAGTTTTACAGATTCTTTTTTTTAATGTATTTTTTAATTTGTTTTATCTTTGAGTATAAGTTTTTTTATTTATTTCTTGTAGCTATTTCTCTATATATTGTTGCTATTATAATATCATCAATATCAATTCTATGGTGTATACACTTAAATAAATAAATATTATTCTTGATTTTAATATATGAAAAGCAAAATATAGATAAATATATATTAGAATATTATTGATATAGCTTGTTCACAATAAGAAGTTTCAAGTTTTAAAGCTTAATAGTAAATTTTCTTTAATTGTAGACAAGATAATATATAGATATGCTAGTAAAATTGATTAAATGAAGCAGTTCTATAGATTATTTCTATTCTATATTTTTTTGTGTGTAAATTGAATTGATTTATAATATTCAAGTCTAATTTATCTATATGTTAAGTTTGCTTATTTTATTTTTTAATTATTTTTTATATTGTATTGAATATTTTTATAGTTTTGTTAAAGATAAAAGAGATAATATATGATGCAAGTATACAATATGTTATATTATTATTATTGCTCATTTTTTCAAATAAGTTTTGGCTATCTTGTCTACTACTAAAATATGAATATTATCATTTTTTTTCTTGTTTATTTTTATTAATATATACTAATTTGAACTAATTGAATAATTATATATAAGTTGTATATGAATCTGGCTTCTAATATATTTTTTGTCTAATCATGTATTAGTTTATTTATATTTGTGATAAGTTTAGTGAAGTTAGTGTAGAGTATTGCTATATAATTATGATAGATTTTCAATAGCTATTGTGATTACTATTAGCTTCATTCTATATAGAAAGACTTATTCTTTAATTGTAAAACTGATTTTCTAAGTGTTGATTATATGGTCTTAAGAATAATACTTATATTCAGAGCTTGTAATTGATTTAGATTTAAAATACTATCTTTTGTTATTTGAAATTTATTGTTTGGTTTAAGTATTGTGTAAACATTCTTGAGTTTTCATTTACAATTATCAGAGAAGTTAATGGTTTGTTATAATTTCTTAAGAGTTAATGATATCATATCTACTTGAACATTTTCAATACTGATATTGAGTTTTTTTATTTACCTTTCAGTACTATCAGATAAGACTTGGATTCTTGTTTTGGTTCCTGTACTTATTAACTGGATTGACTTTGATATTATAATAATTAGAACTGTAATAATTTCATATTAAATAATTCAGAAGTAATATATATCTTATATATTATTTATATATTCATTGTATCTACAACTTGGATATTTATTTATTGAAGATATATTACTTATAATATAATACTATAGTTTGATGTTGTTGTTATGTATACTTATATACTATATCTATTCAAAGTTGTTATATTGTTTTTATTAACTATATATTATAATAAATCTATTGAGTTGATATTATTATTTAATATGTCAAGTTGAATTTTACTTCTTAATTTATTTTGTTATATAAACTATAGTTTTTAATATGCTGTTAAATGACATCTTTAAGTTTATAAAACCAGCTCAGCTCTCTTTATTTGTTGATTTTACTATATAGTGCTTTGACCTGATACTATTTAAGTACTTTTTTATTGTAAATATTGAAAATTTGTTTTATTCAAATAATTCCATGGATCCTATGACCTTTATAAATGCTATCATATTATGATGATAAAATTTAAAATAGCAATATAAAGAATTATAATATAACTATAATATGTAATGCAAAACTAAAACAATATTGAATAAGTAAACTTTAAACTAGATTAGTAACTATTATATTTATAAATAATATTATTTAAATTACAAGATCTAAAAACAATATAAAAAATATTTTAAAAATAGTAAAAACTTTTAAAAAAGCCAATAATTTATAAGTTATTAATCAAAAAATCAATATTAATTATAATCAACAATTTAAATCAATATTCAAAAATAATTTACAGTATGGGATTAATTATAATTTGATTAAAAATTTTATTAATATAAAAAATTTTTTAAAAATATATTTTTTAAAATCTAAAAAATTATTTATTAAAGTTTATTTGATAATTTATTAATCTGTTTATTATGAAATAATATCAATAAATTTTAATAAATAAAAGATTTACAGTAAATTAAAATTTTATTTTTCAAAGAATTTTATTAAAATATCACGTTTGTGATAAAGTTTATTCTATTTTTACAAAATTGTAATTTTACTTTAATTACTGTATTTTTAATCTAAAATTAATATTTTAACGATAATTTAAATTTCCATACAGTATATGCTATAGACATACAGTAAAATACTATAATATCGAGCTTTCTTGTGTTGACAACAATCATCTCAACATATTCACGAATAGTCTTTTTTTATAATTTGTAGATGCCCAGTCATTTCGTATGCAGTACAAATTCATGTATAATATATATATATAAAAGATTTAGAGAAATTGATACGAAAGGAACAGGTTATCAATCAATCGCACTATCAAAGTTGCTAACAAAGACCATTCGGAGTAAAACCGAGAGATCCTTTTCATATCAAATAAATAGCATAAATTGATGTTTTCATGACTATCAGCAACATTTTATTTATTAATTATTTCTCGTTTTTTTTTTTTTAAATGATTATTTTATCTCAAATTTTTCGAGTATGAATCGAATGACGTGTACGGAATCTTGGGAACTCAATGTGACAAATTTAAATTGCGAGATAGACTCAAAGATGCACCAATTTAATACAGAGTATATGTGTACGCGAATAGAATGGATATGCGCCTAGGCCTACGCGTTAGCGACGAGGAGGTAGATTCACGCGTCGCGTTTGAACCCGAAACAGTGAATGTAGGATCTCTTACCATTAAATATCCATGAGGATAGAAATATGATCTGTCTGCATCAATTTTTACGTAGGCCGGGACTCGAACTATCACCTATAACCCTATAGCCAAATGAATGTCAAAGAAAAAAAAAAAAAACAAGATAGTTTTTTTCGCTGCTGATTCTACATGATCTTATCAAATCACCAAGCGGAGTTTTACCTGTTAGAAAATCATCTGTTACGCATGAATGATATCATCACATTCTTGATCGTGTATTTATACGCTCTGACCAAGGGAGTATTAACCGAAATATGAAAGTGATCATATGCAATCAATAGATCAAATAAATGAAAGGTATTCCTACTAGCAAATGCATAAGAATTTTTTGTTTATTTTTACTGCAGTCGTTCGTCTATTAAAATATAGTTTTCGCGTTACACAAAGCATTCGTGGTTCTCTTTTCAAATTATTGTCTTCCTCGATTCTTAGATTGGAAACCGTGAATATATGAAGAGCTTTGTAGATTCTTTTGATGTCTTGGAAACTTGATCAGAAAATGTTTGACAGAAAATCTCATTCACTGGAATCTTGCTTTTCTCCTAGTATGTATAATCGAATAATAAAAATAATATATATATATACATTAAATAATAAATGAAATGGTGATAGATTTAAGGGTTCTTGGCATTTTAAAGAATTCTGTTTCGTGTGATTAAAGTACAATTATTCATTTCGATAAAGATTCACCTGCTACACACAGCCCGCAATCAACCTCATCACAAATAGAACCTTTTTCGGCTACTTCGTCAACACCGCCCCACTCCCACGGGTCACCAAACATTACCGACATTTCCTCGGCAGATGAAGAAAAAGATGTTTGCGCCTCGATTGGGCAGACTCAGGCTAACGATGACGTGACAGGACCCTTGTTATCTTCCGATGTTACATCACTCGATGATCAAGTTCAGAGTGCCAATGTGGGTGAATATTTCGCTAAGGAAGGTACTCCGCAAGTGGCATTTTCTAATTCAACACAAAGTAAATAAAGATTCTCGTTTTATCATCACTATTATTTGCCGATATTAATACGACCCTTTGCTAACATTTATGCAGATCTCGCGTACTCGGCGCATGAACATTTTCAGGAAGGTGACCGTTTTGAAAACCCGAACCATTCTAACCCAAGTTCAATTCAGTCCGAAAACTACTATTGCGACGAAGAGAGATCGGACACGTATGTTCGGGATTTTCAATCTTTCGCAACAGCCGCCACCTCAAATGGTACTAACCGGGAGGAGCTGTCCGAAACGCAACATTCGAACGACCAACTTCATTATCTCTTGAACGGAAACAATCGAAATTGTTTTGACGTTTCTTCATCCTCCATTAACAACAACTTTGAGCAAGATACCTACATATTTAATAGCGATCATAATCATGTCTCTTCTGAATGGCATTCCATAGTCACCCGCAGCTCCAGTATGTCAAGTCCAAATCGACACGAAATTTCCAATGTCAACTCGACGCAAGGAGATCTATACGGTAAAGGTCAAGCCCCCCTTTTGCCGGGGCCCATTCCAACCACAACTTCATATAGTACCATCAGTCCATATCTTCCGGGCGACGAAAACGAGCAGAACCTTGGGCGCAGATCACTATATTCTGAGCCTGTGTTTCGATCGTGGCAGCAGCAACAGACAATTCGCACCGAGTCAACGGGCTACCATCGGAAAGATACGTCGGCTTCGTTAGATCAACGACCAAACTCGAAATTTGAGGAAGTTTGTGATAACGTCGAGGAATGTAATCAAAGGACCTTACCACTAGGAATGAAAACCACAATTAATTCTCTCTCAAATTTTCCTTCTTTCATGGAACCTTCTCGACCAAATTTTCAACATCTCGCGTGTTGCGACGATCCATGTTGCAAGGAGGCCTGCGGATACGACGGTAACTCATGGAATGGCACGGACAATAATTCCGATTACGCTGCTCTCGTGCAGTATCAACCATCCTCGATGGATCATACAGATTCGCGTTCAAATGTTCCCACCATTCGATGGAACGAAAACTTGACGAATCAAGGGAACTCACCAATTCCCTCTCAGAACTCTTCTTTACCCACGAACAATCGCTACTTTCAATCGCAGTCTCATAAACGGGCCATTCAAGATAATTTCTTTGTCGACATGGCATACAACGAATCAAACTCCTCGTCATACCTTTTGCCCACGATCTCCAATGTCCAAAGGAAACCAGCCAATGACATATTTTGTAAGCGCACCAAATCCATGGTCAACAACAGCAATTCGGTCTCGATCATCGCATCGGATGATGGCAATTCCGAGGATATGTTGATGCCGATAACTTCGTCCATCGGCTTTGGAAATCATGATGCGATGATTCAAAAATACGAATCATATCAACTTCGACCAAAAATAGATTTGAATGACAACATTCCAGAGACCCCGGAACCACCATTCGATGTGAGCGATCAAAGACCCGACTCTCGACCGCGAAGGCAAAAACTAAAATATCCGGGGGACATGTATACGCCTCAATGGGTTCGTTATTCTGGGCATTCGAAGGAAGGATATTGTGACAATTGCAAACCTGGCAAGTGGTTGCAGTTGAAGAACAGCGCTTACTGGTATGAGAAATCACCACTATGATGAATTCGCCGAGAATATATCATCCGCTCATGCCCGTCAATTTTTGAACAGGTATCACAAGCAATTTTACCACGGAATTTCCTCGGTCTCCGGAAAAATGTTTGTTCCGCCACTGGAGACGCGTAAATTTGAAACTGGCGATTGCACTGAAGGACTTTGTCATCAGTGTAATCAGTGGGTTCCGATTTCCACAAGCAAGAAAAAGAATTCAATGCTTTGGTTCAGACACGCACATAAATGTCATGTATACGTAAAACCAAAGAACTATCCTCCAAGTGGTAAGAGACGTTAAGGGAAAAAAAAAAAAAAAATACAAACTTCAGATTATCGTTTTTCTTTTGACATCCTTGTTGACAAAACCTGTGCTTTATTCCTCTGGCCGTAAATATCCGTAAGGCCAAGCATGTGCAAATTTAACTTCTATTTGTTTTATGGCGCGCACAAGCGATTTTATAAATTCTTGTAATCGTTTCTTTAAATGTTATTTATTTATTTTTTTTTTTTTTCTTCCTTGAAAGGAATTCTTTTTAAACTTCGATAAGTTGGATATGGCGTGTTGATGCCTAATAATGATGACAGTTGGTGCATAAAAGTTGTATTAACAAAATGAATTCCTTACTTCAAACACAGTTTAGAAATACATATCTCACTGGATAATTTCTTAAGCTTTTTCTATTTTAATAATAATACAGTAATAAAAAAAACTTGCAAATTTCAAATGTAATGTCGAATGAATACGTGTGAATTTTTTCGTTTGAAGACAAAGAAATATACCTGCCGTCATACTGGTATTCCAAATAACGAAAGAAAATATCAAATCGCTCGGTTATCTGTGATTTTTTCTTCTTTCTTTCTTTTTCTTTCTTTCTTTCTTTTTATTTATTTATTTCTTTTTCTTTCTTTCTTTCTTTTTTTTTTTATCATCAAGAAAACGATAACAAATTACATGAACCATTCATTCAATACATATAAAATTCCGAATAAACTATTTTTTTTTTTTCGTAATAATACGGTCAGCATATATTATCTAGTGACGACATTTTTCCTACGAAAAAAATTTGCGCATCAAAGTATTAGGTTTCGCGTTTCTTTGAAAAATATTTAATTAAACAAGATTTCCCCCCTTTTCAATAAGTTTGGGCAAAAGATACTAACCATTACTTCATCTCTTGCCCCCATTGCAAAGTTCCAAAGAAATTTGATGATTCATTTTTCCAGCATGATAGTTGTTTGTTTACAGACAAGCTATTTCGCCAAAATAAAAGGACCTCCTGTCTTCCTTCCCCATAATTGAAATTGGAATTGAGATATTGAGCAGATTTCAATGCCAAAAAAAAAGGGCCTTTTCAAAATTAAGCGTAATAAACAGGATTCGGAACCTTATCCATCACTCGGAAAAGTACCTTTTACCTTGAAGGACGTAGAGATTGATTGCCCTCATCGCATTGACACTGGATCTCCTGACAGAAATCGCGGTGAGTGATCGATGAGTACAGTATTCGTGTCGATCTATTGACTCAACTTTTTTTTTTCACGTAGCCGTTAAGCTAATATACAATGCTTTGATTAAGGCAGTCCCTGGCGCAAACAACGGTAGGAACAACTCATTCAATATATTTATCGTTAATAATATCCCAATGTCACCAGTTCGCTGTGCTATTTCTTCAAATAATTAATAGTGAGAAAGATAGATATCTTGGTTTTAGCGAGCTCTATCGAACATAATATCTTTCGAAACTACAGGTGCATTATCGATCGACATTACAAAGACAGGATTCGGTCGAGGGTTTATAACCTAGCCGACGAGAAGAATCCGGATTTTGTTAAAAAGGTGATAAGCGGAGAAATTCGACCCGAGAAATTGGCGATCATGACAACAGAAGTACGTATCATTTCGAGATTTAATTCTTCCATGGAATATAATAAATTTGCATATGTTGTGTGACATAGGATATGGCGTCTTCTGAAATAAAAAGAAAGAAGGCGATCGAACTAAAGAAGCGCGTACAACAAATAATTCGTCGAGAACCTGATCTGGTCCCGTTAAAGCTAGAGGGCGACGGTTCCTTGGGAGGTGCGATGTTTGGTTGTGGTCCTACGGTTTGGATTACGCGCGAGCATTCCCATGAGTTTGCCGACTACATAGCTGCCGACGACGAACTGAGCGACATCGGACGACCCGCTTAATCTAAGTAGTTGATCTTCTTTTCATGAGATTAACAGATATAACATCTTACAGTTTCGATTTTCAGATATACAGTATTGCCTTTAGCATCTATCTCTTTATTCTTAGCAAATTATCATCATCATTATTATTTTTTTTTTTAATTTTTAGCTTGCCTTTCTTATTCATGTATCCTTGCTACCGACAATTATTGAAATCACTTCTATTTTCACTTGCTTACGACATCAATCTATTTTTGTAGTCAACGGGGGTGGTCAATCTTTAAGGTTCGTTCCCATATTTCTCATATATTTTAAATTTCATATGAATCTCACATTATAAAAAAGACTCCCTAAGATTAACAACATTAATGTGAAGTGTGATTGATATTTATCTAATAGGATTAAAATTTAAACGAACAGATTCAGATTGAGCATGCCGATGTATCAATTTCATCCCCTAGTCGGAAAAATCTGGAGAAAAATATGTTATCAAATGAAGATTAGCGTGGTCATCACGAAGATCAACCTACATTTCGTATTGATATATTTATCCAAATGTCCGAGCTCAGGCATACCCCTATGGTTATATAATATCCCATCTGAATGAAAGGCATTTATTTATAGCGGTATTACCTATATTTAGAATTGAAAATCATTTTTTCAAGAAAATCTTGACAATATAGTAATTACTTTATTGATTGAAATAAAGTTGTTAAAGGTATCGCTTACCAATGCTGTTCTGACCTATCCTTTATTAAAAATTATTATTTCCGTACAATATATTATAAAGAAAAGCGATAATCCAGTATATATTCTAAAATTATCTTGCAATCTATTGAAAAATTGAATTACAGTATATTGGAATTTATAGTATAAATCAAATTATTCTTATTTATGACTTTTTTAAACTTTGAATATTTTTAATTTAATTTTATTTACTTATCTTATTTAATCATAACAACAATAAATATAGTGAATCAATTTATATTTTTTAATAAAATAACTTTTAGAACTATATTAATTTCAATATTAATATTAAAACCTTTTAAGTATTAAATATTTTAATAAAAATTTAATCAATTAAATAATTTATTTATAACAAGCTTAATTATAGTTTTAATATATTTTATTTTTATCTATTTGTTTAAAAATATTTATATATTATGTTTATTAATAATTATTATTTAAATAATTTTTATATATTATTATATAAAATTTTTATTTATTGATAGCTAAATAATATTTTGTCTATTGGTTTTTTGATCACACATAAAATAAATGTTCAAAAGAAGTTTTTTCACTTTTTGCTAATAAAATCTTATTACTTT